TCTTGAAAGAGGTAGGAAAGACAGAAGATTCTAGACAGAGATTATAAATATGGGCTAGAATAGGTGCGAGAATAGGGGAGTATCGTTTTAAAAAACTCGGTGAAATTTCATCCCATCCGGTAGCTGCATTATGTTTAAGCGAATTAATAAGTAATTTAATTTCATCAGTGTCCGTGCATTCTAAAACAAAAGATGACAGATTAGATTTTACTAGGGTGGTTCCTTTTGGTGGAACTGCGTAATTGCTGGTGTTTTTCTGCGCTAGCTCCTTCCCGATGTTGATAAAGAATTTATTAACGTTATTACATGACTGAATTGGTGAGTGAGAGATTTTTGAGAAGTTAAGTGTAATAAATTAAAACTGTATTCTTTGGAGTAAACAGTAAAATAATAATTCATTATATCGCCATCTACTGCATTTTATACGTAAAATGATTTTATCGAACAAACATTGATTAACTTTCAAGGTGCTATGCAAAAAATACGCTAGATGGCGTAAACACGACATGATTTCATTCTCTCGGTGGCTAAATTCAATTGATATATAATTATATATAACTTGTTGTACATTTTTTAAAGAAATTAGTTCACGTTTAATGTTTGACATTATGTAGAACTACTTAAACTTATTAAGTACAACAAAGTCTGGTCCGCTTACAAGCATAATATGGTAATATTTTGAGAAGTTAAGTGTAATAAATTAAAACTGTATTCTTTGGAGTAAACAAGTATAATAATAATTTGTTATAGCGCCATCTACTGCATTTTATACGTAAAACGATTTTATCGAACAAACATTGATTAACTTTCAAGGTGGTACGCACAAAATACGCTAGATGGCGCAAATACGACACGATTTCATTTTCTCGCAGGCTAAATCCTATTGATATATACTTGTATGTAACTTATGTTATCGGATTTTAAGGATGGCATAATACACATTTATGGATATAGGCATTTATATCCTATTGATATAGACTTATATGTCACTTCTTATATTATGAGATTTTATGGATACTTAGTTTACATAAATATAATTTTATTAGTTTTATGATAGTTTTTTTTAAGTTTGAACTGTTTTTGTGTATAAAAAGTAATGTAACATAAAATATTACTTAGATGCTTAGTTATTAGGTAGGTACTGTACAGTTTTTAAAGAAATTAGTTCAAATTTAGTGTTGGACATTGTGTAGAACTAATTATACCTATTAAGTATAACAATGTCTTGTCCGCTTACAAGCATAATATGGGAGTATTTTGAGAATTTAAGTGTAATAAATTAAAACTGTATTCTTTGGAGTACACAAGTAAAATAATAATTTGTTATATCGCCATCTACTGCATTTTATACGTAAAATGATTTTATCGAACAAACATTGATTAACTCTCAAGGTAGTACGCATAAAATATGCTAGACGGCATAAACAGGAAACGATTTAATTTAATGTTCTATTTTATTTTCTCGCAGGCTAAATTCTATTGATATATACTTATATATCACTTCTTATATTATGAGATTTTGAGGATAATTAGATTACATAAACAATAATTTTTTCGTTTTATGATAGGTTTTTAAGTTTGAACTGTTTTTGTGTATAAAAAGTAATGTAACAAAAAATATTATATATGTAGATACGTAGATATTAGGTAGATACTGTACATTTTTTAAAGAAATTAATTCAAGTTTAGTGTTTGACCTTGTGTAGAACTAACTAAACCTATTAAGTATAACAATGTCTCGTCCGATTACAAGCATAATATGGGACTATTTTGCGAAGTTAAGTGTATATATAGTTTTATATGTGGTAGAGCCATGCTCCAGTTATATTAGTAGTATAGTCGTAGCGCTAATGGGCAGGCTCGACCGAGGAAGGACCACGCTCTCATAAAATACCAGCGTGAAATAGTACAGAATGGACATTGTGTAGAACTAATTAAACCTATTAAGTATAACAATGTCTCATACGCTTACAAGCATAATATAAGACTATTTTAATAATAATAATATAATAATAATAATTTATTAAAAACTTTAACTTGTAGTACATATAAAAAAAAATCTTACATGAGATACATTACAAAAATACTAGTGAGGGTGACGTTCTGTTCTCCTTGCTAGACTAAGAAATAGCCTGTATTAAGGAGATTCAGTCCCTTACCCCCTTACAAAAGTGATCAGAAAGCAAAAATTGCTCTTAACTTTTTAGTACTACAGATTTTGTGTGTGTGTGTGTGTGTGTGTGTGTGTGTGTGTGTGTGTGTGTGTGTGTGTGTGTGTGTGTGTGTGTGTGTTATGTGCGTGTATGTGTGCGTGTGTGTGTGTGACCTCATAATATAATTATGTTAATATAATATAAATTAGTTAGTTAATAAGTACTGTTCTGTCTCTTCATAACTCTTGTTTAGTAGGAAGGAGTACACGGCTTTCTTACATTTGTAATTAGATAGTTCATAAATAGAAATATTAAAATTGATCTTATTATAAAGAAAGGGACCGAAATATGAGAAAAACCTTTTCGCAAAATGAGAGGAGACTGTCGGAATACTGCAGATTTTGTATAGAAATAATAATTTGTTATATCGCCATCTACTGCATTTTATACGTAAAATGATTTTATCGAACAAACATTGATTAACTTTCAAGGTGGTATGCTAAAAATACGCTAGATGGCGTAAACACGACATGATTTCATTTTCTCGCTGGCTAAATCCAATTGATATATAATTATATATAACTTGTTGTACATTTTTTAAAGAAATTAGTTCACGTTTAATGTTTAACATTATGTAGAACTAATTAAACTTATTAAGTATAACAATGTCTCGTCCACTTACAAGCAAAATATGAGACTATTTTGAGTAGTTAAGTGTATATAGTTTATACATGGCAGATCCATGATGCAGTTATATTAGTAGTATATAGCACTAATGGGCAGGCTCGACCGAGGAAGGAACACGCTCTCACAGAATACCAGTGTGAAATAGTGTCTTAATGCTGCTGTGTTTCGTATGGTGAGTGTAGAGAACCGAAGACCCTTTTTACTGAAAATGAGGCATTCCATCTTAGTCCTCACGGGTGACAACGCATCTGCATTTTGATTTGTAATCGAGGATAGATGTAGATATCTATGGGCTGCAGCAACCACTTACCATCAGGTGGACTGTGTGCTCATTTGCCAATCTATCCAATAAAAAAAATTAAAACTGTATTCTTTGGAGTAAACAGGATACTTAGATTACATAAATAATTATTGAATAAATGAAAAGTTAATATTGTTTAAAATATTTTTAATATCTTACAATACATGTAGGTTATTCAGGAATTTTATCATTGAGTTAGCAGCTAGTGTACACGCATACGTCTAGTCGCACGCACACAAACACCGTGCCGAAGTCTGCCGAGTGCCGAAGTCTGCCGAATTGAAACGACGTTAGACGATGCACGGCCTTCAAGCCACACCTCCGTGCCCGTCGGAGTGGGGAACGTGAGGTTTTTTCGTTACGGAATGAATTTCTGGATTCGGTCCCGGCGCTCAAGGCCCGCGATAGAAGCTATGCAATAGCTTAAAAAAAACAAAAAAAAATTAATAAAATAAAGTACAGAAAATTGGGTAGTAGTAGATTAAAAGATTTACCAGACAAAATAAAAAAATTAAAACTTTTTATTGAAAAAAATATCGACTGTCGATATTCATATTTTAACCCTTAACCCACCGCGCGACCATGGGTTTACCCCGCCCCTGCGTTGACCATCGAGCGAACGCGCTAATGCTGGTGCTATACTAACGGGAAACGTCAATGACTAGAGACGCAGCAAGTATTGCTTTAAATTTAACGCGATAAAAATTTCAATGCCATTGAACGGCGTTAAAGTTGGCGTTAATGTTCCTCGAAGACTTTTTATATTTGTTAAAAATGGTTCTATAAAAATCCATTAGGTTTTCCTTCGGCTTTCTAATTATTCGATAGTTGTATTAAAAGATAATAATGGGATAATTCGTCGCAAAGCATCATTTTGCGCTGTACGATTCTTATAACTTTTGATTCTCGGATCCCATAAACATGGCTCTATATCCGATAGTTAACGATATTTCTCGTTAGTGTGGCCCAAGCATAAGATTGTACAAAAATGATAAAATAAACAAACACCGTGGCGCAGTGGCTTAGCAATGAGTTGCTGCGCTGGGACTGGGAGCCGCGGGTTCGAATCCCGCACGGAACAAATTTTTGTATGTTCTACAAATAATTGTTCCGGGTCTGGATGTTTGTCCTTGTGCAAATTATGTTTGTAAACTGCCTCCACGATATAGGAAAAAATCCTAGTGTTGGGGCAATGTCTTTTTTTAAAAGAGAAAAGTCTAGAATTAATAAAACAATTATTTGTATTGTTTGATAATCAAATATGTTGAGTTTTATAAAGTAATAAATTTTTCGTATTGTATTAAGTTACTGTGTGTGACGTGTGTGGCGTCCATTACTCTTTCACTATAGCTCGCTTGATTCGTTCGTGTACAGCCAGTCCAAACTCGAGTTAGGGAGATCCAACTCGAGTTAACTCGAGTTAAGCGCAACTCGAGTTGACCCTTCGCTAGTTGGAATGCCTAGTTGCCTAGTCCAATAAACCACCCGTAGACAGAGGAACCTAAAATCACCACATGCAATAAACAATAAATGTGACAGCTGTCAAAGATACTTCTAATTGTTGGAGACAAATAAAAAAAAATTGCTTTGATTTTTGCGCGAAATGTTTCGTATTTGTAGTGGTTGTAAGTAAAAAACGCAGTGACATACTGACATACTGATTCTACACTCTTTTAATACGAGTACATATGTTTTTGTTAATATAATTAATCAATATGTTTGCATTAATCAAAAGAAAATTGAAATTGAGTAACACCATATGTGCCGAAAGAAATAAAAATCAATCCTCTCTTTTTTTCCACATTTTTGTTGGCGTTGTCGAAGATATTTTATTTTGGAAAAAAATATGGCTATCTCTTATGTTTATAGTTTTACTTCATTTATTTGTTTTGTAAGTATTGTTGTTATTCAATTTTACACCTTTATTAATTATTAAAGTTACATATTATAACGAGGTTTTTTATAGGATCTGTGCGCATCAAGAAATAAATTTATTACAATTTATTTTCAAGTTTTACATAGTAGTTTTGAGTGTTGATGCTTTTGAAACTTGGTTGAAATATAAGCATAGAACTACTTGCTTAAAAAAACTATCTAGTCAGGATAATACCAAGTTGAAAAACGCTACTGCACAATTAAGTAAATGGTTATATAGTAGATGGCTTGATTATGTCTACTTGCGTGAACAAAATCATACTAAGGTAATTCTTTATTATATTTACTAAGTTATTATCTCTTAATATTATTCAATATATGTAATACTTCTTCAAGAAGTGCAGAGAATTTTACTTTAAAAAAATGAGAAATTGGCAGCTCTATAAATCTGTAGCCAATCTTATGTATTCATTACTGAGTAATTAGTGAACTATTTAACTCAGAAGTACCCAATAATTACTCTAAAATATAGATATTGTATTACTTGTATTTGTCAGTTCTAGAGCTCATTTGTGGGACTGTACCAATATATACAAAGATTTCTTTAATTACTTTTATTGTTATATTTTAAGATTTCTTTTATATTGTAAAGTGTATGTTATTTTTTGTTAAATTGGTTGATCGATTTTTCATTTATTAATTAAACTATTTGATAAAACTGTTACCCTATGATGTAATATATATAGTATATTGCTAAAAAATCACACTAAAATGAATTTACTTGCAGGCATTTTTATTACTGCAAATTATTATTGGGTTGATCTTTTTTATCTGTAAACATATTAGTGGCTATGCAATAATATACATTTTGGGAATGGTATTAAGCATATCTTATAAACTGACACCACCTATGCTGGAGCTTGTGAAAAAAATAAAACAAAGTGCAGGTAATTTTTTGTTTTTAATAATTGTTCATTCTTACTATTTTTTTTTTGTACTAGTGTTACTAAATTATGAATTCTCTGTCACCAAACATATGAATGAATCTTTTGATGTAGTTAGGAATGAAATGTTTTATATTTTTGTTGTAACATACAATAGAAACCTATATACTTATAATATGACTTAGAACAATGGATCAGTTTTGAGATGAAATGGCTGGGTGCCAGCCAAGTCGCCATACAAATTATTTTTTTAACACATTAGTCCACCTCAGAAATCTTTATAAACTACATACATATTATGATTTGCTAAGTTTATGCGAATTCACATGGAATTAACTGATTATATGAATTTAATCGCTTTCATTTTAACTTATTTAATTTCCAATGTTTCGGGAAGTCTGCAGTATGTTAACTTGTTCAGGATCTTCCCAAATATTATGTCAGATTTGATGGATAGATGTCGGGTCAATTCCTACCAAGGTTGATTAGAGAGGCTATTGAAATTAAAAAACATCCTAATTTGAATAGAGACGATGATTAGATGCTACCATCTGCACAGGTTTCCCGTTGTTAACAAAATTAAATCTAAATCCAAGCATATGATATTGTAAGATCACTCTGCATAGATTGGATCAAGAATTAATCTTTGAAAGTTGAAGGTAGCTTTTGTTAGCTATGAATGTATGTCGAACACTGTTGTCCTCCTCTGATCATGAGTGCTGAAAAACGCCAGTAATGCCTGGAATATAAAAAAGTTAAAGGTAAACATAATAAAATTTTAAAAATTATTTTTATTGCATACATAAACATTATTAACTATTGCCTATAACAACTGTTGGATATCCTGGATGTTCTCTTTAATGTTATAATCAATCTCAAATCATCATTGTCCCCGTTACAGATACCACTAAGTACAATCCTGAGTCACATGCATCCATCAACTTCCTGCATCTCTAACCAGATCATTACTCCATCTAGAGGGAACAGCAGCCCACTACATTTAGCTTATTGGTACGAAACTACCACTCGAGAACCTTTCTTCCTAATTGGTTATCAGTTCTTCAAGCTATATGGCCGGTTCATTGCACTTCAGCTTACTGATCCATTTCGTTATGTCGGATACTCTGGTTCTACTGTGGATATCCCCATTTCTAGGTTTATCATGCAGAAAAACTCTGAGCATAGCCCTCTCCATAGTTTGCTGAGTGACTTTGAGGTACTTCATAGGGTCAGTAGCCAAAAGATCATGTCTCCTCACATGTCAGATGTAATGACTGCCAACACGCACTGCTTGTATCATGTGTTTTCAAGTTTTTAAGTATATGTGATAAAAAGATGTGTCATAATCTTCCGAACTCATAGTTGAATTCTTCGATTGACCTATTGGTCAAAGTTGGACTTACCTAGTCGGACAAATTGTCCTATTTTGACAACTTCAAGCATAATACTCTCAACAACTACCAGCATCAATGTAACATGGATGTTGCACATGACCTTTGTTTTGTCTATGTGAATTTTAGGATCTATCTTTTGGCATACACTATAGAGGTCATTGAGCATAGTACTGAGGTCCTTCAGCGATTCTGCCATAAGGACTATACCGTCGGCAAATCGAAGGTGAGTGATGTACTCACTATTGATGTTAATACCGTATCCTTTCCAGTCCAGTAGCTTGAAAACTTCTTCCAATGCAGCTGTGAAGAGTTTTGGGGATATAACGTCACCCTGTCTTACACCTCTCTGCAGTTGGATAGGTTTCGAACTCTGGTTATGTACTCGGATAGCCATCGTAGCCCTACTGTACAAACACTTCAGCACCTCGATATACCGACAGTCAACTTGGCACCGCTGAAGGGACTGTAGCACCACCCAAATTTCGACGGAATCAAAGGCTTTCTCATAGTCCACATACGCCAGGCAAAGTGGCAGATTGTACTCTTCGGTCTTCTGTACAATCTGCCGCAGGGTATGTATGTGGTCTATGGTACTGAAGCCTTTTCGGAAACCGGCTTGTTCGGGAGGCTGGAAGTCGTCGAGTCGGCATGCGAGACGATTCGTAAAGACTCTCGAAAACAGCACGTAGACGCGGCTCAGAAGGGAAATCGTTCTGTAGTTCTTCAAGAGGGCGTTGTCGCCTTTCTTTAAGAACAAGACCACCACACTTCCGCTCCACGCCTCCGGAGTAGTGCCACCATGAAGGACGGAATTGAACAGCCTCTAAAGGACTTCAAGTACTGGTGTTCCACCCGCTTTCAGAAGTTCCACTGTAATTCCATCCTCGCCTGGGGCCCTGCCGTTTTTAAGGTGCTGGAGATCCATTCTAATCTCGCTCAGACTGACGTCTGGGATATCATCGCAATAGTGTCGGGTAAGACTTGCTCTTTTATCGTTACTCACACTTGCGTGTGGCTCCAACGAAGATGTGTACAGCTGCCCATAGAACCTCTCAATCTCACTCAAAATCTCAGGTGTCCCGGAAACGATGCTGCCACACTCAGTCTTCAGCTTTGACAGTTGGCTCTTTCTCAATCAAATCTCATCTCAGACAAATCTTTGGCAAAGACTTTGGAGCCCTGGTTCCGCTCGATCGCTTCTTCAATACGAGTAGTTAAAGTGGTGTAAGTCTCGCCGCATGCATTTGGAGATCTGTCTGTTCAGTTGCCTGTATGCTGTCAAAACTGTTGACGATTGCAGCCTCATTTCCCGTCTAACAGCCATGAGATTAAGAGTGTGATCGGCGAGTTTTTGTGTTCTTTTGCGGCGGGTCTTGCAGAACTTAGCTCCGACCGCATGGACAGTTTCCACGATCTTGTCATTCATATCGTCCACTGCATTTCAATCTTCTAGGCACTGAAAGCGGTTACGTAACTCGCTCTGAAAGGTTTCGGGATTCTGGATTAGAGCACGAGGGGGATGGAGCGTTGACTTCATTAGACAAGTCCTCTCCAACTTAACGTTTAGGTAACCCTACCCAACCCTAACTATTCGGTGATCGTTGCCAGTTTTCACCCTTGTGATCTCTGAGACATGACTGAACAGTTGGCGTCTGGTCGTCATAATGAAGTCAATCTCATTTTTTGTCGAACCGTCGGGGCTTGACTAGGTCTAATTTCTGTGGGGCCGCTTCTGGAAGAAAGACTTTATCGTAAAGAGTTTCTTTGTCTCCATGAAGTCGGCCAGCTGTTGGCCCCTTGGGTTCTGTTGCCCTATCCCAAATTTCCCTACCTTCAGCTCACCGTTCTTTCTTGTGCCCAGTTTTGCGTTGAAGTCTCCCATTAACACCGTATAGTGAGTTTTGGAGGAATGCATGACTCTAGAAATATCCTCATACATTTCCTCCACCTTCTCATCGGGATTTACCGTCGTTGGCGCGTCATCATTCATCATCATTACAGCCCTTCACAAGTTCACTGCTGCACATAGGCCTCCCCCAAGTAATGCCACAAAGCACGGTCCTGAGCCACCTGCATCCATCGACTTCCTGCATGTCTTACCAGGTCGTCACTCCATCTAGTGGGGGGTCGCCCTAGACTACGCCTACCGGTACGAGGCTGCCACTCGAGAACCTTTCTTCCCCATCGGTTATCGGTTCTTCGAGCTATATGGCCGGCCCATTGCCACTTCAGCTTACTAATCCGTTGGGCTATGTCGGTCACTCTGGTTTTACTGCGGATATCCTAATTTCTGAGTCTGTCACGCATAGAAACTCCGAGCATAGCCCTCTCCATAGCTCGCTGAGCGACCTTGAGCGTCCTCATACGGCCAGCAGTGAAGGACCACGTCTCTGATCCGTAAGTCATCACTGGCAACACGCTCTGGTTGTACACTTTAGTTTTCAGAGATTGAGATATACCTGACGAGAAGATGTGTCGTAATTTCCCGAACGCTGCCCAGCCGAGTTGAATCCGTCGATTGACCTCTCGGTCGAAGTTGGACTTACCTAGTCGGACTATCTGCCCCAGGTAAACGTACTTGTCAACAACTTCGGGCATAGTGCTCCCCACAACTACCGGCATAGGTGTGACATGGACATTGAACATAATCTTTGTTTCGTCCATGTTCATCTTAAGACCTATCCGTTGGGAAACACCATTGAGGTCATTGAGCATAGTGCTAAGGTCCTCCAGCGATTCTGCCATAAGGACTATATCGTCGGCAAATCGAAGGTGAGTGATGTACTCGCCAATGATGTTAATACCGTATCCTTTCCAGTCCAGTAGCTTGAAAACGTCTTCCAACGCAGCGGTGAAGAGTTTCGGGGATATAACGTCACCCTGTCTTACACCTCTCTGCAGTTGGATAGGTTTCGAACTCTGGTTCTGTACTCGGCCATCGTAGCCCTACTGTACAAACACTTCAGCACCTCGATATACCGACAGTCAACTTGGCACCGCTGAAGGGACTGTAGCACCACCCAAATTTCGACGGAATCAAAGGCTTTCTCATAGTCCACATACGCCAGGCAAAGTGGCAGATTGTACTCTTCGGTCTTCTGTACAATCTGCCGCAGGGTATGTATGTGGTCTATGGTACTGAAGCCTTTTCGGAAACCGGCTTGTTCGGGAGGCTGGAAGTCGTCGAGTCAGCGTGCGAGACGATTCGTAATGACTCTCGAAAACAGCACGTAGATGCGGCTCAGAAGGGAAATCGGTCTCTAGTTCTTCAAGAGAGCGTTGTCGCCTTTCTTAAAGAACAAGACCACCGCACTTCTGCTCCACGCCTCCGGAGTAGTGCCACCATGGAGGACGGAATTGAAGAGCCTCTGAAGGACTTCAAGTACCGGTGTTCCACCCGCTTTCAGAAGCTCCGCTGCAATTCCATCCTCGCCTGCGCCCTGCCGTTTTTAAGGTGCTGGAGATCCATTCTAATCTCGCTCAGACTGACGTCTGGGATATCATCGCAATAGTGTCGGGTAAGACTTGCTCTTGTATCGTTACTCACACTTGCGTGTGGCTCCAACGAAGATGTGTACAGCTGCCCATAGAACCTCTCAATCTCACTCAAAATCTCAGGTGTCCCGGAAACGATGCTGCCACACTCAGTCTTCAGCTTTGACAGTTGGCTCTTTCTGGCAGACAGATCTCTGGCAAAGACTTTGGAGCCCTGGTTCCGCTCGATCGCTTCTTTAATACGAGCAGTATTAAAGTTGCGTAAGTCTTGCCGCATGCATTTGGAGATCTGTCTGTTCAGTTGCCTGTATGCTGTCAAATCTGTTGACGATTGCAGCCTCATTTCCCGTCTAACAGCCATGAGATTAAGAGTGTGATTGGAGAGTTTTTGTGTTCTTCTGCGGCGGGTCTTGCAGAACTTAGCTCCGACCGCATGAACAGTTTCCACGAGCTTGTCATTCATATCGTCCACTGCATTGCAATCTTCTAGGCACTGAAAGCGGTTACGTAACTCGAGCTGAAAAGTCTCGGGATTCTGGATTAGAGCACGAGGGGGACGGAGCGTTGACTTCATTAGACGAGACCTCTCCAACTTAACGTTTAGGTTCAGTGTGCCTCTAACCATTCGGTGATATACATATATATACCCCATAGTTGCCACGCTTGGCGAGCGGGTTGGCAACCGCAGTTTTTTTTATACAGTTGCTGCTATCAAGTAGATGCTGCTGCCCATTTTTCCCTCTGTCGCCTTTTACGACACCCACGGGAAGATATGGGGTAGCGAATATTCTTAACCGCCACTACACGGCTCTTGCCTGCAGTCAAATTTCCGACAAAGATTTAGGAGCCTAGGTTCCATTTAATCGCTTTTTCAATACAAGCTCTATAAGTATCAGATAGTTTTTGTGTAATTCTGCGTCGGGTCTTGCAGAATTTAGCTCTGATCGAATGTACAGTTTCCACGAATTTATCATTCATATCATCCAATATATTGCAATATTCTAGGCACTGAAATTGATTTTCGAGTTCGAGCTGTTTAGCTTTTAGGACTGAAAAAGAGCACGATGCGGCGTAGCGTTGACTTCATTAGACGTGAACACTCCAACTTAACATTATGATTCAGTGTGCCTCTTACCATTCGATGACCGCTACCAGTTTTCACCCTCGCGATCAGATCACAGACTGAACAATTGCCGTCTGGTCGTCATAATGAACTCGATCTTATTTTTTGTAGAACCGTCTGGGCCTTTACCAGGTCCACTTCTTTTGGGACAGGTTATCCCAGCTGTTTGTGATACCTTGGGTTCCGCTGCCCTATTTCGGATTTCCCTACCTTCAGCTTCAGCTCGCCGTTCTCTTTTGTGGCTAACTTTACGTTGAATTCTCCTAAGATCACCGTATAGTGGGTTTTGAAGGAATGCATGACTCATTCTGATACATTTCCCCCAGCTCCTTATCGGGATGTGGCGAGATTGGTGCGTAAAATATACACGGGAGCAGTTTCCTTAATTCCTCTTTTACTGTGCAGTCCATATTGCTCTGGAATGCCTTGCCTGTTGATATCAAGAAAACTAGTAACAAGAATGATTTTAAGAATTCTATTATAAGAATAATACCACCTGACTTATCCGACTATTGTTTTTTTCTCTCTATTTCACTTTATAAATGATATTTTGTATAGTATGCATTGTGTTATTTTATTTTTGTATTATATTATTTTATTTATTTATAGATTTTGTATATAAGTACCCGTATATATATATATATATATATATATATATATATATATATATATATATATATATATATATATATATATATTTATATATATATATATTAAATATGTGTATTTTTACTAACTATATTCTATTTATTTGCATTTTATTTTATATCTTTATTAGTTATTTTTTAAATATAGGAAGTTATTGTTTAGACCTGCCAGTTTCTCAAATCATCCAGGGTTTGGTAGAGAATGCCATTAGGCATTAAGTTCGCCCTTTCTATCCGTTATTGTAAGGTGTATAATAAAAGTTGAAAAAAAAAACTGTTTGACCTATAACGAATAACGTTTGGAGATTCTGGGTATAAGGTAGGTACACACCCGCTAATCTTTACGTTGTTAACGAGACTTGTGAACGATAAATCAGACACCTCCCTAGGACAGATGGTCGCCCTCCCTCGGTGATAGAATAAGTTGCTTAAACAAATTACGGTGTCATCCCTCTCTCTTCGGAACTCAGATAATGCTATAATATCCCAGCGCAATATAGCACAACTATTGATTCTTCCAGCAGGATCTTTAGGTTCTTAGGGTGGGCTTTAAATTGTGCCAAGTTGAGTAGTATACAATGGCAAAAGAATTATCAATAGAGATTCTTAGCCCCCGCCCTCCCCCCGCTGTTATCATGATTGCCACCGTAGACAGGAATAGCTGTGCCACCGGGGACTGGAGACCATTTCTTTGTACATTTCGTTGAGGTGTATATTGCCATAGTTGCCACGTTTGGCAAGCGGATTGGCACCGCTTTTTTATTGAGTTTGGTATCAGAAAGATGCTGCTGCCCATTTCCTGGTCTGTTTCTATCTATCGCTTCTTACGACACTCGTAGGAGGATTTTGAAGTATTGTATATCTAATTTCACCGCCATTTGAGATTAGGTTACAAATAAATTTGACAATTGAATACTTTTAAAAATCGTCGTTAATATTATGTTGTATACTTTATATATTTTATTTTCAAAATGGCAATGCTTAGAACTCAACATAATTGTTTTGAATAGTTTAGAATCAAGAGTGAAAATTTATCTTTGTAAGTTTGTGTTATTATCTTACAGAATCAGATCTTGAGCTGGAAGGTCTTGTCCCAGATGTGTCGGATGCAAATATGGATTTGTTATCTATAGAACAACAAGAACAAACTCAAATAATTGATGAAAGACAAAGCTTAGGTAATAACAATTTTTTTTACTCTGTATTTGGAATTATTTATTAGCAGATGAGATGTTGTTCTCTTGGATCTTGTTCAACCAGAAAATACTTTTTTCACTTTTCCACCATGAAAGTTTATTATTTTCGGGTTGCCAGATATTTAAGCGGTTGATAAATTTTACTGAAAGCTGTATAATTACATCAAAATTGGATGTGATTAACGAACAAAGTGCAAGTCTCATCCCAAACTTTAATTTGTCACGGGCTGCTTTCCGCAACTCCACGACATCCCGTGGTGTCTGTAAGTAGAACGCGTGATAGAGCCACTTCAACTTGTATTATTGTTGCAGCACTGGAAGCTACCATACGGTCGGCACGACGGGAAAATGTAATGCTTACATACAATCCATCCATCCTCTATAGATTGCCTCGAAGGAGACACTTGGCAACCGTAGATTTTTATTATATTGCTGCTGCGCATCTCTTCAGTATCAGATCCTTCTCTTGCCTCTTACGACACACACGGAAGAGTGACCGTCATCCATCTATCATTAATTGCTTAACATGGGTCTTCCCCAAGGAATGCTACAAAGCACGGTCCCGAATTACTTGCATCTATCAACTTTCTGCATCTTACCAGATCGTCACTCCATCCTGCGAGAGGCCGCCCTATACTTCGCTTATCGGCAAACATGAAATAGTGGCTGCTGTGTTCCGTGAGTGATGAGACTTTTCACTAGTAACAACTGGAGACTAAGATGAAATTAATGCATATGTATTTTGTTTCTTGATTGAGGATAGATGTAGGTGTCTTGACTACAGCATCCATTTACCATCAAATGAGTGGTATTTTTGTTTGTCACCCTCACTTGTTTGGAGAAATGTAAGTAAAAATCGAAGAATTCCGAGTACAGTGATTTGTTCCACATATAATATACAATTTTTTTGATTAGGAAAGGTCATAAACCAATATAATACAATATTTTATCTTAAAGGATTTCGTTATCGTGGAATCGTGTACGCGCAAAAGTAATAAAGGCGTAGTTGATAAACTCGTCATTCGCTTTTTATCAAGTGAAAACCGCGATCGATGTACCTGTTGATTCCTCATATAATCGCTTATCTCCGAGCCTCGTCTTGTTTTTCTGCGTGCCATATTTAACGTAGTACTAGCATGCGCCCGCCGCTGTGACAGTTTTCGTTCTTATTTGCCGGTCTAGTATAATAGATAAAAGTCTATAACTGCCACACGACCCCCCCCCCACAACTGAAATATACCGGCATCTTGACAATATGGCCAGAACATCTCTTTATAACTGGTGGAGACGTCACGTTTCCCGATTGCATAAGCGATGTGTGATGCTTACGATATTTGGAACTTGATTTCGATGCTTATATAGCTTCGTAATGGAGAAGCCCTTAATATTCTCAGATGTCGTTGGTCGATTGATCATAGCCGCTATAGACGGATTTGACTTCACTATTGCCTTTCCGAAATTAATGATCCTCCGTTCGCCGGCGCAAGATTTATACCTGTTAAAAGAAATATCTAGCTACTGACTATCGTAACAATATATTTACAGGATGACTTTGCCGCGTTTTTCATAGCGGTCCGGCAACGTCAACGTAGTTATGTTGAAAACATTCGAGAACAACTTAACGGAAAACTTGAGATACCGGAAAACGATGGCGCTGAATATAGCTTTTTGGACAGTCAATAGAACTTTTGGTCGGTAATTGATGGGCAAAATATTTCTGACAGGATTACAGATTTTATGTTCAATTTTGAATGCTTATTAACGACAATGGTTCCGGTATACCGAATATGCGGTGTATATATTTTACAGTAAAATTCGTCGACTGTGTTTAGAATTTTCGTGGGTGATAAATTGTCTTGTTGTTCATAAAGAATCACATCTTTGTGCTATTGCGTTTTTTTGAAAAGGAAAAGCTAAAGACAGTCAAAATATTTTATTAAAAATTAGGCTTTAGAAAGCACTTATTGAAATCAAAAAATTTTTTTTTTACAACCGACTTCAATATAAATAAAATGAGAAAATTATAAATGTTGTCGAAGTCAAGAGAAAACCAAACACTACTGGTCCGATCTCGATCAAATTCATATGGGACCACATGAGAAGCACCAGCTTTTAAATAAATTAAGAATCATCTTAATCTGTTTACCTAGAAATAATTCTGAAGTAACACACACGTAAAAAGTAGTTTATTTGAGAACCTCCTCCTTCTTTTGAAGTCGGTTAAATACTGCCATCTCTTAAGTCTCTTGTGTGGGAGACCTTGTGTAAAACTCACAAGAAGCTTTTTTGATTTCTTTGTAATTTGACCTACATACGAACATACTTTTCGGCTTTTTGTTCGAATGTATGATTTGCCATAGAAATAACATATGAATCTGAAACGTCGTCCTTCACTGACGGCCGTATGAAGCGGAAACTCAAATAATCTCCTGATGCTATGGTCGGTCAAAAGTCACAAACCAGTTTCGTCATACGACATCATCAGGGTATATAAATAATAAAAACAAACCCCTAAAATACCGACCGGTTTACAAAATGATATGAATTAAAAAAGAGTAGTTTACATGTGTCAATTTTATATTTTTACCAAATAAAGGAAATAGCAAACGAGAACAATCTACCTGATGTTAAGTAGACACATACATCTATCTTCGATAAATAATAAAAATAGTGCTATCTTATCACTTCGGAACTAAGTCAAAAGCACTAACTACTACTAAGTTAAAAGCCCCTACTAGTAAAATGAGTCTCAGGTTCAACACTCACCATATGAAACATAGCAGCATTAAGGTGCTGTTTTGAGCAGGTATTCTGTGAGAACGTGGTCATTCTCCATTCGAGCCAACCCATTTGTGCTGCAATTATAAAATAACTGCAGCTTACCTCTACTACTATGTTAGTGAATAGGAAATTTCATCAAATGACATTAATCGCAAGTTTAAATTTAAAAATTTCACTTAGATTACTGGAAGCCAGAAGATTTGCCTATTGAAGATGCTAGTGATAGTTCAGAAAATAGCAGTTTACTTGTTACTAATCTATCAATGGAGAAAATGCAAACATTTGAACAAAATATTGAAACTTCAGACTCTAGTGAAGATGAGTACATACCACAGGATACAGGCAAGTGTTATAACACCATTACACCAAACTGGAGATTATTGTACTTTATAATGTTATTATACCTATTTCTAGATCAACCTAAGGAGCGGTTTCAATCAACTCTGGTAGTACAGCCAGTAGATACATGGACAAATGCTGCCTACAATGTTTTTCAAAATTTTGGCGGAGCTGTTGCTAATATAATGTATACATCACAAGAAGATAAAAAAAGAAAACGGATTTCAAGCATTGATTCTTCCGATGGTTTTGAAATTATAGACAAAAATGATATTATGTAATTTTTTAATACAGTATATTCAATATTTATTCTTATATCAATCATTATATTATATGTACTTAAACATTACAAGACATATTTTCCAACATCGACATTAATTCTTGATGCTGTTTTTTTAACGCTCTTAGGCGTACACTATTTAGAGAATTTCGGGCAACTAGTGCCTCAAGCATCGGTCTGGATATCTGAAACAAAAACATTAATCAATTTATCGCTTTGACAGTTTTATCAAAAAATCGATCTTATAAAAATTAAACATTAAAAAATTAACTTTAAAGAATTATGGATTAATGTTTTCTGAAGAGGCTTTAATTCTTCAATACACTGTCATAGCGCCGACTTCGAAAGCTATTATGTGGAAATTATTTTAATTACTTTAGTGTTTAAAGTCGTTTTTTACTTTAGCCAAAATGTAAAAATTTTTGTCCCTTTTGCGTGGAGTAAGCAATATCACAACTTAACTAGAATATATAAAAGTAAAATAAAAGATTACAATTTTATTATCTGTTCTCTGTATCTCTTAGGGTTTAAATGTGTCCTGGAAATTTAAATGGGACCACCCTTGAGGTCTTTTAGGTAATTATTGCTAAATGAGCTATTTTTTCATATACTTAGCATTGGGTGACAAATGACACACATAGTCCACCTGATGGTATCCACATTTATCCTTAATTAAGAATCAAAATGCAAATGCGTTGTCACCCCTAAGGACTAAGATGGAAAGCCTCGGTTCCAGTAAAAATCTGGTTCTCTATACTCATCATACGCAACACGACAGCGTTAATCTGCTATTTTATGCTGGTATTTTGTGAGAGCGTGGTTACATATCTTTTAAAAAAAGAATTATTAAAATCGGTTCTCGCAATCCAAAATTAACACCGAAAACTTCTGGCACGTCTATGTATTAATTAGTAACCCAATTCCCCGAGAGATGGCGCTGTAGGTACTTATTACATTGGGTCGGGTATTATCGAATTGTTCGGTTGGTCTCTCCTTGGCATTGGCGGTATCTTATAACAACATAAAACTTCTATCAGGAACATGCTAAGGCAATTTAGAACAAAACTAAAATTCATTTTTTTAACGCCATTAAAATGTTAAGGTAAAAACCAGTTCATAAATGGTTCGATAGATGGCGTTGCATAATGACGTCATTTTATTAAAAGTCGATGTTAATATTTTCCGTGCTTTCATGACCTACCGTGGTAAAGGAAGTTGCACTTAAACATATTCGTAATCTTATGAGTGCACAATCTAATAGTCGTCGAGGTTTGATTAAATTAGATTGTGGGTAAAATTAACTTCTTTTGCGGATATTGTTCATATTAATTTTGTATGTACGCACAGTACGCAGTTACTAAGCAAATACGAAATACTGAGAGCCACAGGGCCACTATACAAGCAGAGCAACAACGCAACACGCAGGCTCATCGTTTAGCTCGTGAAAACCCTATCTTCCGGGATATAGAACAGCAGCGGGACACGCAGGCTCACCGTGAAGCTCGAGAAAACCCTATCTTCCGGGATACAGAACAGCAGCGAAATACGCATGCTCACCGCATAGCTGATATCCAGTACCATAAGTGATACCCAGGCTCACCAAATAGCTCGCGAAGATCCACATTATTCACAAATTGAACGAGCTAGAGACACCAGAGCTCGACAATCGGCGCGTTGTAATTCTATTAATGATTGGGATAATGTTAAACGAAAATATTTTGATAACACCAAGGAAGGATACAATCATCCTTGTTCATGTTGTGGTAGATTATGGCACAAAAATTCTGTAAGGAAACTAATAAAGCATTCTATTTCGACTAAATATAATGCAGAATTCGCGTTAAGTGTATTTAATTTAAATCCTTGTGATGAATCTGCTGAGTTTTGCTGTACGTGTGCTAAATATATAACTCAAGGGCGAATGCCACGATTGGCAATAGCTAATGGATTGAAGTTTCCAGATATTCCGGATGTTTTGAATGAATTAACTTCAATGGAGGAGAGATTAGTAAGTCCTCGTCACGTATTTTTGGAAATAGTTCGTAGAGGCCAGGGATTAGGATATCAGCATGGTTTATCAGGAAATGTTATTAATGTACCTGTAAAAATTATTAACATGGTAAAAGCTTTGCCTCGGTCGATAAATGATGACAATGTCATCACTGTAGAGTTGAAGCGTAAATTCTGTTATAAACATGGTCGAAAAGAACAAGTCCGCCCGGACATCATACGGAGAGCAGCGGAATATTTAGTAACGTGTGATCTGTTTCGGACATATGGTATAGAACTTGAAGGTTCATGGACAAATAATGAACCTGAAGACACTGTCGAATGTACCTGTAGTTCACCTGAGCAGGAGAGCAATGTTGATGAGATCCCTGATGTAAATCCTGGTGGCACAGAAACTCTGTTAGATGAAAACCAAGACCTAACAATAGTTATGGCTCCAGGAGAAGGTGAAAGGCCAATTTCCTTGCTTTTTTGATCGACATCTGGAAGAGCTGTCTTTCATAAAAGTACATTGCGCTATTGAGCGAAAATACCTCATGAACTTAAGTCATTCTGAAGTCACACGTTCGGAAATTTCCAGAAATGACAGGCGAGCTGTAATACCTGATTACCTATTTACTGCCCTGAAAAAGCAACAAACTATTGCCGTCAAAAATAATGTTACGACCTGTTTACGCAAAAAAACTGTCAAGAGGTGCCCCTGTATTTGCATGTAATGTGCTTCAAAATAATTTTGTTGACAATTTAGTTCAACATGACGATGGGTATCGTGTTCTTGGAGGAATTAGAAATTCTCCTGCTCACTGGGAAAGTGAAAAAAAAGTTGTTGGCAATGGTTAGACAGTTCGGTGTTCCCACTTTATTTTTAACTATATCTGCTGCTGAAGTGCAATGGATTCCATTATTAATTTTGCTTAGTGAAGTAGTTGATAAGAAAAAACTTACTGAGCTTGAAGCGGAAAACTTGCCATACGATACAAAAAACTCGCCTTATACAATCCGATCCGTTCATTTGCGCCACATATTTTGAAATCAAATTTAAAGAAATTCAAAAAACCTGGTCCTGTTCATCTGGACCTTTCTTAAATTATAAAATCACTCACTTTTATTATCGCATTGAATTTCAGCATAGAGGATCGCCTCATGCTCATATGATGTTATGGTTAGACGAAGCGCCCACTTTTATACCCGGTGATACAGCATCTGCTCGTGATATATCCAAATTTGTTGACAATATTATTTCCTGTAACAGCACTGAAGTACCTGATGAACTTAGACGTCTACAACTACATAAACATACACATACATGCCGGCCAACATCAGATAGACTGTGTCGCTTTGGAATACCATTTTTCCCCATGGATAAAACAAAAGTATTAATAGAACTTTCAAAAGACGATCCAGAGTTCAAGAAGTCAAAACAATTGGCAAAAAGACATCTGCAAAAAAAATACAAAATATTCCTGCAGGAATATATACTTTATGAAGATTATATATTGGCTATTAGAAGCATCTTAAAACGACCTACGGTAGTTCTTCAACGCAGACCTCAGGATGTATTTATTAATCCTTTTAGTAAAAAAATCTTAGCTTTGCACAAAGCAAACATGGACATCCAATTCATATTAGACCCGTTTGCGTGCGCAGTATATATTGTTGACTATATTAACAAGGCTGACCGAGGGATGTCTCTTCTTTTGCGTGAAGCTTTGGACGAACCTAAAAATAAAAATAGAAATAAAAGTGTTAAAGATTCATTAAGAATAGTATCTAATGTATTCTTAAATTCTAGTGAGATCTCTGCTCAAGAGACAATCTATGTACTGACTGGTTTACCGTTGTCACGAGCTAGTGAAGCTGCAATGTACATAAACACTAGTTTGCCACAAGAGCGAGTGCATATTTTAAAAAGTTACCTTGAATTGCAAAGCCTCGAACCTGATTCTTCCGATATATTCCAAAAGGGTATTATTGATTATTATTCAAAACGACCACTATCGTTAGAAAACGTAAGTCTTTCCCATTTTGTAGCATTTACACCTATTCCAAAAAAAAAACTCATTCAGCTAGTTCAATAGAAACTCTCAATGACAGTTCTCAAGCAATTAATTATTCCCAGGCTGTTGAAGAAGTTGAAGCGGAAGGGAATTGGATTCCTTTGCAAGATAATTTAGGATACATACGGAAAAGAACTAAAACTCGAGTAATACGATTTCGCCGGTACAGTTACATTGATGATCCAGACAATTTCTATAGGGAACAGATAATGCTATACATCCCTTGGCGAAGCGAGGAGGAAGAATTACTAAATCCCAACATAAATATAAAGGACATATTTGACGAGTATAAAGAAAGATTAAAGGCCGAAAGTAAACAATTCAATAAACAGGTGATGCTGAAATGTTTGAAACATTGCTAACAGAAATAAGAAATGTAGAATTAATAAATGAAGAAGAAGATTTGCAAGGAAGAGGAGTCAACGTGGATGTATTTGAAGGCTTTGAATTTGAGACGCAAACAGTAGATATAGCAGAAGAACTCATTCCAGGCGGAAATCCCGGGCCGCAATTGTGTGGTGACCCCTCAACTTTCATTGCGCAGCCACCTCTCTTGTCCCATGACGATTTTTTGATTCTAACTAGAAAACTAAATGATGCTCAAAGAGACGCGTTATTTCATATTTATCAACACTTTTCCATTACTTCTCCACATCCACTATATTTATTTATCAGTGGTGGCGTTGGCAAAAGTATTCTGATTAAAGCAATTTATCAATGCCTAACTCTCTTATTTAACAGAGAAGCTGGTAGTAATCCCGATGAATTAAAAATACTTTTAACAGCTTTTACCGGTAAAGCTGCATTCGGAATAGGAGGGCAAACAATCCATAGCGCACTTGGACTTCCAGTGTCTCAAGCGGGCAATATTTTACCAGAGCTGTCGCCAAGTGTGACCAATACTCTGGCCACAAAACTAGCAAAACTACGTTTA